GGGGGGGTCACAGTACAGAGAGCAGGGAGAGAGGTTCACTACTAGGGTTACGGTTAGTGGATGGTTAGATTCCTGTTCAGTTCGTCAATTTCAAAATTCGGGATTTTGGCAACCAGACATTCAGAAGCATCCGAATGTTCCAATAGCCGAAATTCAGCCAAATTTAAATTCGGACCAAAATGAATTGCACGTCTAATATTGTATCCTATTGTAACAATGCAATGTTTTGTGGACCCAGCACATGCTTGAAAATGAGAGAAATCAAATGTATCCATCCTGGTAAATCATTTTATAAGTAAATACTTACTGCATTCTTCTTAAATCTTACTTTTTTGATGCCCATAAAAGTCTAAATTAAAAAACATTTTAAAAACCAATGCAACTATTAAAACTATTGAAAAAAATAAAATAAAAAAAGTTTTTGAAAAAACTAAGACATAATGTAAACACTCTGCATTGTAGGTTCTGTGCTAAAAGCCTTTTAAAAATGAGAGAAGGCCCCTCCCATACGTTCCTCCCTCCCCCCACACATGCAAACAGATACACATGCAGACACATATACAGAGACATACACATACATAAAGACATACACACAAACACACACAGAGACACATACATACGGACAGACATGTAACGGAACCGCTGGCACCCCGACCGGGTACCTTCCGCTGACGGATGCTCCTAGTGCTTTCCGAGGTCTCCAAGTACTCCACCTGACACCATAACCACTGCAGACCCCACGAACCGCCGCAGCTTGGTTGGGGTCTCGCCGTCTCCACCCACTCTGGACCCAAGACCAGGGTCCAGCTTCCAGTAGGTTGACCTCTCCGAATTCCAGAGAGCAGGAACAGGAACAAACTCTTAGCAGAGCTTAGTGATCATACCCTGGGGAGTATAGTGATTATAGCAATCCCCAGAGCGTAGTTTCTCCAATCCCCCAAACATGAGCCAAAACTTCATGAAGGTACAAGATGATCTGACTCCAATGAGCGTTTATTACTCCTTATATACAAGTTTTCAGGCCAAAGGCACACCCCCTGGACCTGGTGGTAAACTGTGACAAAAGGGACACAAACCAATGGGAACACTAATTAACATAATAACACTCCCACATATACATGAAATCCCTCCTCTCCATCCTGGAGATAATTGGTTTAAGGCACTGCAGTAAACTCAATTACCAGGTACAGAAAATATCTACATTTTACACTAACAGCAAAAATACGTAAAAGCATATAAAAATACATAATTCTTATTATATTACACAGATCCCCCACATTTAACCTATCCCCAGATAGCTCAGATCTGAGCACCCAATCTAGGTGAACAGCACTCAGATCCCATGAACAGAGTAAATTTGCCATGGGGCAAAGCATAGCAAGGGCTGTTGAGAAACCAAGGAGGGACAAAAGCAGTCAGCTCCAACTGGTTTGGCAGTGTGCTTGGGACAACGCCCTGCTGGAGAACAATAGACAGGAAACGGGGGAGGGGAATAAACACACCTTCCCATGGATTCAAATGGGCAGAAACAGTCTTTAGAAGCCAATAAGCCCCAAATAGTCTTTTTAAATGGCAATACACCCCAGGGCCATAGTCATGAGTAAGGAGGCTAGCAATCAGGCTCCTCCAACAGCCGGGGCAAAGGGCAGCTTGTCACCTAATAATCCAGTGACAAAAGGCATTTCGTCACAACACACATATACATTCATACATACAGACATACATACATGTGACGGACAATCACTGCTTCCTAGTACTTCCAAGCACTCCACCAGACACCATCAGCACTGTAGACCCTTAGCCGTTGCAGCTTGACTGGAGTCTTGCTGTCCTCCACCCACCCTGGACACAAGTCAGGGATCCAGCTTCAAGTGGGTAGACCTCTCCTACTCCAGAAAGTATAGCAGGATAGCTCTTACAAGAGCTAGTGATATAGCTGGTATAGCTGATCCCTACAATTATGAGAGGAGGCTCTGTGTTGAGGATGAAGTTGAACTGGTTTAATGGGAGCCACATGCAGCCTTATATGCAACTCCCAATGCAAGGGATTTCCGGATACATATTCCTGGGGCATTCCCCCCTTGACCTGAGAGGGGACTATGACAAAGTACACACTGTAATTACATTGGCTCTCAGGTCCAGGACACTCCCACACAAAACAGGATAATCCTTTCCCCTCCCCTGTGCCTGAGAGATAGTTGAAAAACATGCATTTCAACAATATCCCAAAAGTACCCCCAAAACACATGGAAACCCCACAAAAGTCACATCCTCTGATAGCCTTGATCTGGGGGACCAACATATCCAAAAATCACCCAGATCGGTTCAGGGGTTTGGGATTTCCATGAAAGTCATAATTTTGACCAACCGTGCACATGGTCCTATACCCAAAACAGTGCCCCTTGCATGGGGACCTGCATAAAAGGCCAGTTGTGGCTGCCAATAAACAAGTTCCTGCTTACCCTCAACATAGAGTCTCATCTCATATTTCTAGGGAACCGCTATATGAGCTATAATCACCAGCTCTTGCAAGAACTACACCACTATACCTGCTATACTCTCTTGGAGGAGAAGCCTTCTCACTGAGAGCTGGATCCAGGAGTTTGGTCCAAGGTTGGAAGGGACGGCGAGACCCCAGCCAAGCTGCGGCGGCTAAGGGGCTACGGTGTCGGGTGCTTATGGTACTCAGCGGCAGCTAGGAAGCAGCGATTGGTGGAGGCACCCAGTTGGGGTTGCCAGGCGGCCCGTCACAATATGGTGCTGTATTATCTGGGGTGGGGGATATAGGGTGCTGTATTATCTGGGCGTGGGGGGATATAGGATGCTGTATTATCTGGGAAAGGGGATATAGAGTGCTGTATTATCTGGGGTGGGGGATATCGGGTGCTGAAACTGCCTGCCGGCTATGCTGTAAATTCTCCTGTGTGGGAGGTTGGGGCCTTCGACGGACCGGTGGTTGGAGGGTGTAACAAACTACCCCAAACCCCTATAAGTCTCCTAAGCCCAAGTTATTTTTTCCCTTTGTAGCGGATGGCATTGGGCTGTCCTCAGAATTATGTATATTCATATGTTTTCGGTTTAATTTTGCCATGTGTATGTAAAGTGTATGCAGCATTCGCCTGATTGTTGCAGCATTCGCCTGATTGTTCGGTAAAATCACTCCTGTTATTATGCGAGTGAAACTACCGAACAATCAGACCACCCCAGGAATAAGTGTGCCTCCAATTACCGTTCGCAACAATGTTGCAAACGGGTAATTGGCAATTCATGCAGTGTGTACTTTGTCCTCTGGGTGGCCACCATTCGGGAGACAAACACGTGGCGGCGGCCATCTTAACTTCCCGAACAGCGGTGTTTTGCCATCGAGTGTCTGGAACCCAAATCGGACACTCGGTTAGGCAAACACCGCTGAGACCTCCATACTGCTGCCAATTTGTGTAAGAACTACCGAACGGCTCCCTGTTCAGTAGAAGAAACCCCACGAACAAGGGGATTTACCTGAATCCTCCCCAGTTCTAATAACCCAAGCCATTCGTGTGTTTCATTCCCTTTTCTGTGACCGACCGCAGGGCCAAAATGTATGAAACCCTTTTCGGCTGTTAACTCCAGCGCGGTCGGTCTTTTTAATACCTCCAGGAATTTCCCGAACCCTTGGTCCGATCTGGTTGATGTTTGGATATGTGTCTCACCCAGATCAGGGCTACCAGGGGATGTAATATTTAAAGAGGTACCCCTATGTTTAGGGGTACATCCAGAAAACAAGGGGAACTGTGTCCTGCATAATGGGATTATGTGTCATACTAAGGGGAGGGGATGTGTGGGTGGCAACTTGTGTATGATTGGTGTATTGTGTAATTACTGTAAATCCCTCCCTTGCATGGGAGAAAGCTGTAAAAGAAGGTTGTGTGATTAAAAGTTCAGTTCTGCTCCTGATGCTGTGTCGTCGTTCAGTCATTGGGATATTATTGGATTGTCTTGCCTGCTGGAATTATTGCCTTATGTATTTTTAATACTTGTTCTTGAGCCTCACTGGGATCTTGAGTGGAGATAACCGGTGGAATATCAGCTCTCTGCTACACCCTTTATTCCGTAGTTTTGTCTACCGAACGCAGACCACCCCCTGGCTCATTATCTTAAAAGTAACCACAAAGTTAAGTGCTCTCTCTACCCGGCCGCCGTTCATATAACCGAAAGACACATGCGCTGGAAAACAGCGGCCATTTTGTCTCCCGACCGCAGGCAGCAGTACTTGGTCATCTAACTAATTTGGGCAGACGCCATGTGTGCGTCCAAGTTACAGTTTAATAATGAATATGGGCTTAATGTACAATATCTCAGCTGTAAAGGAACACTATAGTCACCTAAATTACTTTAGCTAAATAAAGCAGTTTTAGTGTATAGATCATTCCCCTGCTATTTCACTGCTCAATTCACTGTCATTTAGGAGTTAAATCACTTTGTTTCTGTTTATGCAGCCCTAGCCACACCTCCCCTGGCTATGACTGACAGAGCCTGCATGAAAAAAAAAACTGGTTTCACTTTCAAACAGATGTAATTTACCTTAAATAATTGTATCTCAATCTCTAAATTGAACTTTAATCACATACAGGAGGCTCTTGCAGGGTCTAGCAAGCTATTAACATAGCAGAGGATAAGAAAATCTTAATTAAACAGAACTTGCAATAAAGAAAGCCTAAATAGGGCTCTCTTTACAGGAAGTGTTTATGGAAGGCTGTGCAAGTCACATGCAGGGAGGTGTGACTAGGGTTCATAAACAAAGGGATTTAACTCCTAAATGGCAGAGGATTGAGCAGTGAGGCTGCAGGGTTGTTTAGGTGACTATAGTGTCCTTTTAATTTGAGTGTATTCACATCCAAATTAGAGGAGGGATTTAGTGATTACAGCTCCCCAATATGTAACCCTCTCTTTTGCAAGGGGCAAAAGTAATTGGAGAATTGACTCAAACGTTGCTGCACAGAGAGGTGTGGGCACACAATGCAAATGAGAACAAAAATGTTTTCAATTTCCATTCCTGAACACGTTGGCAGAAAAGGACAACAATTATAATGATGACTGACAGGGATCCAAGTTCCTGGGTAGATGTGTGGATTTCTAAATTTCATTTTATTTTTCACACCTCACAAGC